GGTCCAGCAAGTACCACGGGGGGGACTGTGTGCATCCTGGGCCAGGGATACAAGGCAGACCAATGCAACACAGAAGTATAAATCAAGAGGCTGCGTCCAGCCATTCATTCATTTTCTGCGGAAGCTCTGCGGAAGCGCTGCTCGGGCGTCTTGTGCAAGGGAGGTCTGCAGATGGCCTGAAGACGAAGTGGGCAGAAGTTAGTGATAGGCTAGTTAGCTGTTAGTGGYCRTGYGCCATAGCCATAGACAGTTAGTGAGTGTGTATGTGTGTGTGCAGTGGTTGGCGTGCATGGTATMCAGGGTGATCCGGAGTCGAGTTGCGTGTGAACTCTGAGTCGGGTGTGTAAGTGTGGGCGCCCAGCGCCATAGTCAATTGATGTAAACTTGAATTTGAGTCGAGTTGCAAGCTACTACATCTCCGAGTTTGAGTTGGGTGCACAGCGCCGAGTTAATCTCATATGTTGCATGCATGTTTGAGTGTGAATTTGTAAGACTGATTTCAAAATATGTTCCCTCCTTTTCTTTTCTTTTTTTGTACTCCTGCCCCCCCCTTCCCTCCCTCTCCCCTTCTTCCGACCCATAAATATGTTGTTAATCATCTGCCTCTGCCTCTGCTTCTGCTTCTGCTTTTTTATTTTTTATTTTTTTTGTCAGATAGCCAAGGATGCGCGAAGAGACCAATGTGAAGACTCCGACTCCACCTCAACTGCGGCATCTACAAATTTCTTCACAGTTGGATTGGCTTCAATGACTGTTTTACTCTCACAGGTTGCCATTCTGTCACACTCGGAGCATCCCGATAGCTCATTCTTTTTTATTTTTTTTATTTTTATTTTTATTTTTAAATTTATTTTAAACAGGTCCTTATGCTCCTAATTCCATATCCATTGCGGGGAGCGTCAGAAGCTCATTCATTATCAAATTATATCAATCACTCACTTGATTGAAGTTTATTCCCTTTGGCATCATTGCCTGCACATGTCATCTTGCCGTGGAGGACCCTACCATCTTCACCCAAACATGTCCCACCCTTATCATGAATGTATATAAGCTAGTTTTCCGGTCCGATCATGAATGTATATAAGCTAGTTTTCCGGTCAGATAGCTTCATGATGAGAGTGTGTTGTATTTGGGGGAAGATGGTAGTCGGAAGGGAAACATGGGTGGCAGATTGGGAGGTATGAGTGGCAGATTGGGAAATATGAGGGGCAGATTGGCAAACATGGGTTGCAGATTGGGAAACATGAGTGGCAGATCGGAAAAGCCAGATTAGGAAACACGAGTGGCAGATTGGAAAAGCCAGATTACGAAACATGGGTGCCAGATTGGAAAAGCCAGATTAGGAAACATGGGTGGCAGATTGGAAAAGCCAGATTAGGAAACATGAGTGGCAGATTGGGGAACATGAGTGGCAGATTAGAAAACATGATTGGCGGACTGGAAAAGCCAGATTAGGAAACATGAGTGGCAGACTGGAAAAGCCAGATTAGGAAACATGAGTGGCAGATTGGCGAACATGAGTGGCAGATTAGAAAACATGATTGGCAAACATGAGGAGAGGATTGATGGGGGGCTCCTGAGTCGGTTTCTGAATCTTGTCCAATTCTGAAGTTTGTCGTATTCTCCTAAGTAGCTCAAATTTTTTCTTAGCCAAAGCCGGGTAATG